AGAGCCCCAGGAGCGATTTGGGGCCTGATTCCAGGACATGGAGCTGCTCAATGAGAATGATAGGTGAGGCCGGGCAGGAGTTGGGTGAAGGCAGGGGTGGACTCTCCCTGTTGGCCAGTCCAGAGGGCCTGTCTCCGTGACCCCCTGGTCAGCCCCAGGCCTTATTTCATGGTGACCTCTGGGACTCCCAGACTCCAGCTGCTGGGCAGTCAGTGGGGCTCCTGGTAGGCTCACAAGTGCCTCTCTGTCCTGTAGCTACAGCCTGTCCCGCCAGTTGGAGCCCCAGACCTAGTTGGCCAGCAGAATACTCAAGGCCAAGAAGAACCACCCATCATCAAGGTCAGGGGTGAGTGAGTGTCTGGGCCGGGGTGAGTGACTGCTAGGGGTTCAGTAAAGCTTCGGGCTAAGCGTGGCCTTGGGGAGTCGGACAGCTGGCACTGGGATCCCAGCTCCACTACTGAGCAGTCCTGTGACTGGGGTGACTATCTTCAGCTTCCTGAGACTCTGTTTCCTCCTCTGTGAAATAGGTGATACTAAATGATTGCTCACGTGGCAGGGACAAATGGGGTACTGGTGGCTGACAGCACTGAGCACAGGGTCTGGAGCACCCACTGCAGTGGGGACAGGGTGGGGGGCCATGATTATGAGGGAGGCCCCCAAGATAACCCGACTCTACTACTCAGCCCCCAGGCCCCAACACTGAGTCCCGTACCAGTGGCCGATCACAGCCCCATCCTCAGCAGCGGGGACACAGCTGGGATGCTAGCAATGCACCGGGCCAACTCCTCCCACCCGATGGGAATGGGAGCATTGTAAGCTGATTACTGGGGCCCCCTGAAGCCCAAGAAAGAGGGGACGACCCCACCCCAGCTCCCTGACATCTCTACCTCAGCACCTATTCATCCATTGGGGAGGGACGGTAGTTATGTGTTGTAAATAATAAATGCCATATTTGAATATTATATTAAAGTCCTGTTCATTTTACAGCCTGGGAGTTGTGGTGTGGTTCTGTCACTTTCTGCAGGCATGTAAGTGAGACACAGAATCTCATTTCTCCTTGAATTAAGAACTCTTCTGGGTCATCAGCTTATTGTATGTGAGAGAAGGGCCAGCCCCTTCCCTGGCTAGTGGGGACACTCCCAAGTCCCTCTAACTCTGAGGAC